GCTGGAACCTGCCAGAGGGGAGACTGAGATGAGCTCTGAGGCAGAAGCTCTTCCCTGGGAGGGTGCTGAGGCGCTGGCACAGGGTGCCCAGAGAAGCTGTGGCCGCCCCATCCCTGGCAGTGTTCAAGGTCAGGTTGGACACAGGGGCTTGGAGCAACCTGCTCTAGTGGAAGGTGTCCCTGCCCGGGGCAGGGGTTGGAGCTGGAGGAGCTTTAAGGTCCCTTCAACCCAGACCACTCTGGGGTTCTATGGTTACAGTTAGTGCCACAAGGTACCTTCCCAGCTAATCCTATAGCTCTGTAGGAGATGGCAGGTTACAAGCTGCTTCCCTGTGCTTCTGCACAGTCCCTGTAACTGAAGGGAACATTTCCCTTCAGCAGCATATCTCACCACCTTGTGTCTGGGAGTCACCAGGAATGTTGTGGAGCAGTTGGTAGCAAATCTGAGGCTGGAATCCCAAATGCTCTGCCCCATTCTTTGGCCTTCTCTCTGCAAGGATCAGCTTGTTTTCTGCAGAAAGACCTCAGGACTTCAGGGCAGAACTGTGGACTTCAGGGCAGAACTTCACTCGCTGGTGGACCAGGCATGAGGAGATACTTAAACCCATTTTACATTCAGACAAACCATTCCCAGGAAGCCCTTTTTCTGCAGGGACTAGAAGACTCTGGTGGCTGGAAAGGGAATGCAGCACAACTGACTTTAACATGAAAGCACGGCTGGCTTCTTAAGAGGCATTTGAAGAATATTTGCTTATCTCCAGCTCTGCAAAAGCAGAAGGAAGATGGGAGAAGGTCTCTTGAGCTCAGTAATCTCTGCTTTGGTCATGGTCCCATTTCTGGGTTTAATTTTGCCTGATGGCTTTGGCCCTGGAGGGACAACTGTGACATTGAGCCACTTGCAAAATCATCACAGTCCACTGCAGGAAGCCCAGGGGAGAGCCCCAGGTGGCTTCATGCCACTGGTGGTGCCGAGGAGAGATGGAAGCTTTGGGATGCTCCTGCAAAGATCTGGAGAAAGTCCCAGTCTTCTAAAGGACATAGGTGCTGTGGTGATGGGCAGTGGCAGAGATGGAGGTGTCCAGTTGGCTTCTTGAGCCCAGTGCCACCACTCACACTGCCAAAAGCAGTTAGCCAGGAGAGGAGGAGTTCACAAAGATGAATTTCAGAGCAGCCCATGCCAGCACCAAACGTTCAGAACCATTCTGCCGTCTGCTTTCCCACCAGAACCTGCTTTTGAGGGAGGCTGGATGGAAAAGAACAGCCTTAGAGCTCTGCCATTAGCTTCTAGCTGGAGCTGTGCTTGGGCTCTGCACTTAAGTCTTTAAGTTCTTTGCTTTTCCACTTCTAAGTGATTCTCTTTGGGAGAGGGTTAATCTTCCTCCATTTCAGACAGTTCTCGAGGTGGTTCTGATTTGCTTGGGTGGTTGTGTCCTCTGCAGCACACAGAAGATGACTTCAGGAGCCGATTGAAGTCTCGACCAGAACTTGAAGAGCTGAAGGCACAGATGAACTGATGGGAAGATGAACTCTCCGTCCGTTTTGGAGCCACCCCTGGTGAAGTGACCTTCTCCATGGCTGCTCAGGCCTTCAGAAGGTGACTTCATGAGCACCGTACCAATAATGTGGTGAATGGGAATAAAACCACTGTTAAGGAGCTTGTCTAATAAAGATAAATACATGTCTTTATCTGACCCATTAGAATGAGGCCACAGGGATGGTGCGAGGGCTGGAGCAGCTCTGCTCTGGAGCCAGGCTGAGAGAGCTGGGCTGGGGCAGCTGG